GACTTAGCCGACGTAATCCTGAGGTGAACACAACAAACCGTTTTCCACATCGAGAAGGCAGGTGCATCGGAGAGTTACCATTCGAGCACGGGCATCCGTCAAGGATGCAAACTTTCACCAACACTTTGGTGCTGCATGTTTGTGTACGTTCTGCATGTCTTTGATGGGCAATTGGGGGCACAATGGTGCCTGGATCATCTGCTCGGCTTTGCCGACGACATTCACATGCGATGGGAATTCTCAGACAAGACGGGCTTGCTGCAAGCATTGCAGGAGGCGGGACAAGCACTCAGCATACTTGAGCGACTGGGCTTTCACTTGAGTCAGGACAAGACCATATGCTTACTCAAGGCGGAGGGGGTTCAGGCTCCACATGCATTACGCAAGATCACACGCAAGCGCCTCAAGCCACCGGGGAAACTCTTGGTTCTGGATTCGCGGTGGACGCTCCCCCTCAAAACCAGTCACGTTTACTTAGGGGCGGTGATCTCTTATGGACCCTTCGAGTATCAGAATGCCATCCATCGCCGACACGCTGGACAAGCCGCATTCTCAAGATTGCGTCCCACACTGATGTCGCACAGAGCACTGCCACTCAAGAAACGTCTCCATCTTTGGCGCACGGTTGTGCTGCCCTCGACTTTGTACTCGTTGTCATCATCGGGCTACACCAGGAAATCATATGATCTCATAAGAGTGATGCTGGTCAGGCAAGTCAGAGCCATCGCGCGCAGTCCACGGCACCTCACGGAGGAGAGTGACTGGCGTCTGTTTCAGCGTCTACAACTACCGACAATCTTTCAAATGCTGCTTCAGGTGCATACCAGAATCGTCGAAACTTCCACATCACTACGTGGCAAGCTCAGCTCCCAGGACGTCAGGCTGACAGAGGACATCATCCAACGAGAGCACAAGAACCTTGAGGCAATTCGTATGTTCGAGCCGGTCAACACCAACCAGGCAGGATCACAGGACCGCCTCATGTGTGACATCTGTCATCAGACCTTTGACAATGATGCCGCGCTACGGCATCACAAGGCCAAGAAGCACAGCGAACAACGCATGCAGGCTGAATCAACCACCTTTGACAGGCAGCTACATGGTACGGACGGAATGCCAAGGTGTCGAGGTTGCGGTCATCCTTTTGACAGGTGGGCGGATCTTCAGAAACACATCGAAGAGAACCATTGTCAAGGTGGGAATGCCAAGACAACATCGGCATCTTCACCCAGTGAGGAGAAGCCTTCCATCCTGCAATTGGTTAGAGCGGGCACACTTCAGGTACATGAGCTCGAGTTATCCATGATGACCGATGACCTACGCCAGGAGCTGATTTCACACTGTGCCGTATGTCGACAATGGATGCCAAACTCCAGGTATGTCAAGGTTCATTGGCAGCGTCTACATAAAGATGAGTCTCAACTCTTTCAGGCAGGCACATTGCAGTGGCGCAGGCTCGCTTTCGATCCAATTAAACAACGATGCTCATGGTGTCTGGGGGAGGTACCAGCGGGAACTGATCATCGCGACACTTGCCCGGTTCTCTTTCAGCTTAGCATGATCCGAGCCATCACCATGCCCACCAAGGAAGACGATTCGATTGATAGTGCTGAACTTAACTTGTCACTTCCAGCGGATGACACATTGCGCAAGTGGAGCCTGGAATGTCAGCTTTGTCATGCTTCATGCACAGCGCGGGGTCTACGCAAGCATCTTGAGCAGAAACATGCCCAGATCTGGAAGCAGGCTCAGCCACAGGTTGATAAGCTTTGCGCGGCATGGGCACCGGGGTTGAAAACCACAGCAACTCCACTTACAGCAAGCGTAACAGACATGCTATCACCTGTCATGCCATTACTCAGACTGCTTTTGCTCGTGTCCGCGAATCTGTGCTTGCCGACAACAACACTGAGCCCGATGGAGGTGAGCATGGCCAACCAGGCAATTCAAGAGGTGTTCGGACCACTCGTGAACAGCGGCGCCCTCACGGGCCTGGGCAAGCGGGTGTCGGAAGCATCAACCACGCCATCCGGAGACAATCGACTACCGAAGGCCAACAGACTCAACAACGGTCGCAAAGGCGGTCGAGGAAAGGGGGGCAAGATCTGGAATCAGCAGGGCCGGGGAATGACAGATCACAAGTCTCAGGAGGAGCCGGGGATGGAGGACTTGCTTCGTCTTCTATCACAGATCATTTTGCGCCACGAAGATCAGTTGAAAATCTTCAAGCAGAGCACGGGGTGGATTCTTTTCGCTCGCACGGAAAGCCCATCCATCCTACCGGGGATTGTTCAGACCTCACAGAAATGGAAAGCCGAGATTGTCAAACCCGGCTGTCCGTTCGCCAATGTGAGTTTGAGGGCAGTGCTCTTCTGGAACCTGGTGGAACAGCTGACTCAGGCGGTTCAAAACCTGACACAGGAGCAAAAGGAGCATGCCTTGACCTCGGGGTGGACAACCCAAGCCGGGGAGTGGAAGTTTCAGGTGTGGTCGCACGAGAACCATTGCCTCGAGGCGGACCCCTCCCGAGATCCGATCTCGACGGAGGCTCTCATCAAGATCCTTACCGAGCTGAAGTCGCTGGCCACGTCGGAGGTGGTGTCGGCCTTCTTCTCGAATCGCCCTCTCACGGATCAGATGCAAGGAAGGATGGTGGTGTTCCAGCTCGATGTGACTTTCCGCAAACCAGTGGCTCACCGCTTTTACGAACTGCTCGAAGCATTGCAGGGACAGGCATCCATGCAACTCTGCGGACTACAGCTCCGCAAGGAAGGATTTCGGAGGTCGCCCGCGGTCCAGAGACTGGCCGAGATGCTTCGCTGAGGACACTTGTGCTGCGCAACACGTCCAACCATTGTTACATCAACTCGGTTGTCAGGACACTCTTGTGGACCATTGTGTTGGACCCAGGTCTTGATGACTCCTTCGGCAGTGCTGGGCTTACGTTTCTCAGACAGCTCCTTAAGCACAATGGCAAGCCGATGCTCATCGCAGGTCAGTTGATGTTCAATTTTGCTCTTCGGGGATGGAGGTCACCATCGCAGCAGCACGACTGTGCAGAATTCTTTCAACACATCATCGCAAGGCTGGGGGCCACGGCTTTTGAAGGCACATGGGAGGCACGTCGGATCGAGGAGGATGCACTTGGTGGCCACCGGTGCGTTCGGCTTGATTACGGCCGGTGTACACAGGCTATCTCGCTGGATATCCCGGAGGGGTGTGAGCATGACACTCAGTATCTACTACATTGCTGGCATGCTCAAGCGCATCCTCATGCTCTTCAGGTGGCACCGAATCTGCTGCTGCTGCGCTTCTCTAGGTACGCACAGGCACATCATGCTATCGCCAAGAACGACTGCAACATCACATGGAAACATACCATACACATGCCCGTCTTCAGGGGGACCGATGATCTTTCACCAGGCACGGTGGATTACCAGGTCATCGCTGCCATATTTCATCACGGACCGTCCCTGTGCGAGGGGCATTACACTTCGGTGTTACATACAGTCGGGGGCGATCTTTGGTGCGATGACAACATTGTCCCAAGGTTTCAAGCCGAGAACTCAGAGACCACACCAAAACATTTTTCCAACAGTGTTTATCTTTTGCTGTGCAGGCGGGTACCTGCGCCGGGCTCCTAGTGGGCCGGGTGCTACGTTTCAGGGCTTTCTCCATGCGTGGACAGGTCACTCAAGGGGCGGCGAGTGGCAGCGATGGAGATGTTTTATCAATACGGGATGGCTCTCAGTGCAAAATCAGTGGAGCTCAGATTTGTTCTTTCGGTCATGCGCACATTTGCAGCGTCACGTGTACAGTTGAGCAATTGTGTGGATCGCCAGCGTCTTCTTCGACCACTGCACAGCATGCACAGTCACAGCTTTCAGCATACAGATGTTCCGTACACCTCGATTTGCACACACTTTTCATGTTTCTATTTCGATTACAACTTTCCCGCATTTCCTTCGCAACCCTCATGCTGCAGTGTTCATGTCTTTCACTCCAGAGCCCGAACTTCCTCTACATGCACCGTGGTATGTGGAGGGCGACTTCAATGTGAACTTGTATTATTATGGCTGGCGTGACATTTCGGATCCGCCTACACCAGCCACTTCGGAGCATGATACCACGCACTCGGTTGACATGTCTACAGTCTCTGATCTCACAGTGGAATATATTCCCGATGATGGGGAGGATGAGCGGTTTCAGCAGCTTCAGATGCGCACTCATTGCCACATGAATCCTTCGGAGCTTATGCTGATTGCATCTCCCCCAACGCATCCAGCGGAGTGCATTGCCAAGGATTTCCTACGTAATGGCGGTTGCGATGCTGAACAACTTTCAACCTTGTTGGGTCTTCTTCCGCGCGATCAGGTGAGGCCACATCAAAGGTTGGATATGAGTGCGGATGCCGCCGATGCCTTTTCTTTTACAACGGGAGCTTTTCAAGCAGGTGGATTGGTGGGGGTTCGCAACAATGCTTACTCTTTACCATGGGTCACTGCCTTCCTGTGTCAAGTCGCACGCTTTGCACTGGGACGCGGGGGCGATGACTTTGCCTTCACTTCGCTTTCGCTGCTGAGGAATGTTTTCTCTGGCTTACATCGTGATGGTAATAATCATTCCGTCTGCCTTAACCGACTGATCCCGCTTAGCTATTGGACAGGCGGCGAGTTGTGGTGTCATGACACCACGGGCGACATCACTTATCCTGGCACATCATTGGTTGGCAAACTTCTTCCGCTGTCTCCACCATTTGTGGAGTTTGACGCTTGTGAATTACATGGCACAATGCCGTGGCTGGGTGAGCGTGTGGTGCTAGCCGTTTACCACATCAAAACACCCACTGCATTGACCCATGGTGAGATGGATTACCTCAAACGAGTTGGTTTTGCTCCGCTGCTGGAGTGAAGTGAAGCACACTGAACGGCGTGATGGCGTAGTGTTCGGGTTCGCGGGGCTTTTGGGCGGTTGGTCGTTCGGTCGTTTTCTTCGGGGTGTCGTAGTAGTAGTTGAGTGATGTGTACAGTTTGTCACTCCCTTGGTCTCGTTCCGGCTTTTGCTGTAGTGCTGCTTGGTCAACCGTGGCAGTGCTGCTGTAGTTACCTCGACGATTTCAAAAGTCGTCACTCGTACACTCTCTTTTAGCTCGCTCTAGTTTTCTGTAGTTCTAGTTGTCGTTTTGCCACTTGATTGCATCGCTTTTGGGTGCTTCACCGGGTGCAATCAGCTGTGCTGCTTTTGGTGCTTAGGCACGGGCATGGCCGAGACCTTGAGTCTCCGGACAATACGTCTGTCAGGCCTACACTAGGCGACCTGTGGAAAGAAGGACGCTGTGGGTGAAAAAAACCGGCTGAACGTGTCTTTTTCGTA